CTGCTTCATTAAATAATTTATATTTAATTAAATAATGTACCAAAGAATACATAATAAGGACATGCAAAAAAGGGAAACAATGATCCCTAACTGTCATAATTTTTCTGGCTTTCTAACTGCAACAAAAGCCGTTCAAATTCGGCTAAGTTCATCGATGTATTTCCCGTGAAAATAAAGTTTAAACTGGAAGGAAAATAGACAATTCTCTGTACAGACAACAACGTAATATAATACATCATTTGATAGAGAAAAACTTTGGTTTTCTATTGGTTATAAATAATAGTCTTAAATGTCACAGAACTGTTGGCAAGTTCTGAAAGAGAGGATGTGACAGGTAGGTGTGGAAAGAGGTGTTTGATTTGCTATTTTATTGCTCTGTAACTAAATACGATTGAAGGCTATGGAAATTATGCTTTGCCTGAGCAATGACAACATTATAATAAGTAATTTACATTAAATTTTCTTGAAAGGGTGTAAAAAAAATTAGAGAAGAGGGAAAACATAGATAATATACGTCACGGTTCTCATATGAAGGGCGATTGAGATTTTTTTAATATTTTCTTATAGAATTAAGAACTTAAAACTTTAAATAATACTAAACTTTGATTTATTATTAGGTATGTTCTGATGCCAAGTTTATTCATATACATTAGTATTCTTAACATTTGTTTAATTGTCACTGTACTCTCCTGGTTCTATAGTTACTAATCATCCTTAACATTTGTTTAATTGTCACTGTACTCTCCTGGTTCTATAGTTACTAATCATCCTTTACATTTGTTTAATTGTCACTGTACTCTCCTGGTTCTATAGTTACTAATCATCCTTAACATTTGTTTAATTGTCACTGTACTCTCCTGGTTCTATAGTTACTAATCATCCTTAACATTTGTTTAATTGTCTCTTATTCTTTGTAGCAATAAAGCATGTTTTTTTTGTAATTTTGAGTCTTGGAGACAAAGGATTACATTTACTTTTAACCCTTTTGCTATTGGCAGGTCAAAGTGTGTATGTCATGACTATTTTATTATCATGGTGCACGAATAAACTTTGCATAAAAATATACTTAATAAATCAAGTTTTAATATTATGTAAGTTTTATAAGGAAATATTTTAAAACTCCTCAATCTTACCCTAGTATGAGAGTTGTGACATTTGCTTATTATGTATCCCTTTTTCTCTAATTTATTTACTACCCCTCTGAGAATTTAACATAAATTTCTCATTATAATATTCTTATTACCTGGACAGAGTATGATTAGCATGGCCTTCAATCTTATTTTGTTACAGAGCCATAAAATAGGAAATCAGACCCTTCTTGCTGTGCACACCTGTCGCATCCTCTTTCACAAATTGCTAATCTTTCTGATATTTAATACTATATAATTTATAAACCAATAGAAAGACAAAGTTTGAATCTATCAAATGATGTATTATATTATGTTGCCAAGTGACTTGTATGGTGGGATTATTATACAGGGTTCAAAGGGCAATACAATTTAAGTAGAAAGTACTGTTACTACTTTTAAGCTATTTAGGATAAACAAGTCTAGTTTCCTATTACAAAATTAAGTTGTTTTTTTTTAATGGTGGTTACAAGGTCAGTCAATTTGACCAACCCTGTGTAGAGTTAGGGTAGAGACAATAAATAAATATGAAGTTTAGTAAAAAAAAAAGCTTGAATTTTATATAGGAGGTTTTAGAGATTATGCAAATGAAATTTGATAATTTTCAGATGAAGAAAAGTATTTTAAATCTTAACAAGAAAATCACTTTGCACTAAAATTCAGATTTTTTTGTCTATAAAAGACTCGTAATGCTTACTAAAAGCTTGCAAAATTTTGTGAAGATACAAAAAAAAAACGTATTAGAAGTTATAGTATGGAAACTACATTGACCGAGACCACCATGAGAGAGTTAATAGTACATCTTGTACCTGCTGTGGCAGATCTGTTCTTGGGCGACCATGAAGAACAATAGTTGTAAAAGAAATAATTTATTTTAAACAAATTTATTAAAGACTGTGTTAACACTTTTACTGATTTTCAGTTTCAGAGCAGTGTTAATGAATTCTTGCAGTAATGAAACAGTAGATATCCATACGAAAAGTTTACATAATTAATACTTATGTACTCTCAGTACATAATTACAAGAGAAAAACGAGCAGTTGTATGTTTTACGAGCATTTCGTTTATTATGGCCATGGTCTCCCCAGCAAAGGCATCGTCTGTAATAAAGTTTACAGTTGAATGGAAACATTTTCTGGAATACTTTAGTGCATGATCGGTAAATTAGGTTCGGTGTATGTTACAAACTGATTTTTTTTTTCTATGCTCATTTTAATAGTTTTGATCCTTTGCGTATTTTAAGTTAACTTGGTCAGATTGGGGGGAACGATGCTTACACGATTTTAAAATAGCTATTCCTTGTTAAAGGAAGAAATAACTACATTTTTAAATATAATGGATTTAGTAATTGCTTCGTTGATAGTAATCGTGAAAGGAAGTTAAATCTTTAAGAAACCAGCATTGCAGTTCATAGAAAATTATTGCACTGTTTCAGTTGTGGTCAGTGTATTTCCGTTGTGGTCAGTCTAATCACAGATAAAACTCAGTTGTTCCCGAGGATAAGTAGTTGGTAAATGTGATATATAATTTTGCTGCTTTCACAATTTTGAGCTGAGCTGACGACGAGCAGCAATTAGAAACCAGAAACAAATCAACTGAATTCAAAGATACTGCTTCTCAAATTGTAAACTTAATCCAGATTTTAAATGACACCAAACTGCTTACATTGTTTGTATAACATTGTAAGGAGCCATAGTGTAGCCACAGACAGAATTATTGCTCAATTAAATATTTATTGCATTTGTTTTTTTTCTCTCTGCAGGAAATTAATTTATCCAGTACAGATGGCGATAGTAGCTCACAGGTTAGTTTTATGTTTTATAGTGTGTGTTATTTAAATCGGTTGAAATTAGGTTCACCCCTAGTTTTAAGTTATTTAAATTAAAGGTCTGTAATGTTTTTAAATATTTTTCTATAATTGGTTTAACAATTATGTAAATCTTTTGTATTAGGTTACTTATCCTTTATGGCTATAGCTTTGTCAAAGTTAAAAAGTACTTGATCACGGGTGTATATATATATATATATATATATACACACACACACTA